CGAAAAAACAACAACCCAACAATAACCAATACAAAACCGGTTAAGGCACTTTGAACTTGAAGCGCTACATTAATTTTATTATAATGCACTGTATTTTTTAAGATTCGCTACTAGCTGAACTGCTATAGAGGCTACTGTATTCTCCGCGTTTTCTTTCCTTTGCTCAGGGTGTACTCCCCACTGTACGTTCTCGATTACTCGACGAACTTCTACTGCACGTGTTCTTGGTGAAAATGTTAGAATGTATCCTACTTTTCCCACGGCTGAGTGGGAGCAGTCACCTCAACCCCTCGTGCGCGCAAAAAATCAAATTGTTATAATAAAGACTGTGAACCGTTATATTATAATATGATGAAGACTGCACTATGAGTTATGGTACTTTGTATCATATTATAATCCGGATTGCCTTGTTGAAGAACACAACGAGAAATGCTGATGGCTGGAAGGCGCCACCGGTAGCTGTCCTTTTTTTCTTTATCCCTCTTTTCTCGTTGTTTGTCTCCTTTCTTTTTCCTGCACTGAATGGCCGCTATACTGTGTCGGTATGCTTCTCTTTTCATAAACAAACATACAAACGAACAACGTGGAAACTACCCAGATTGTAACTTTAAATTGATTAGGCGATGAGCGCAGATGAAACGGTGAATGCACCGCTTGGCGATGGCAACGATGGTGTGCATTTCGCTGGCGGTTCGCATCGCATTTGAGCTAGATAAAGGAACGTAGGGGCTTTTTGTATGAGCAAGTAATATAGTATCATGATTGCTATTATCACACAACGAAAACGACCACCTCTCTCTTGCTGCCCTTTCCGTTCGAATCGACGAGTTCGGTGAATTTCATTTACGTGACCTTGTTTCAGCGAGGTCGGTTTGTACGCGGCAACACGCGTAGCGTGTACCCCACCGCCGCGTAGCGAGGGCGGCAAATTCCGGCCGACCTCATTCGCCTTGCGTGATACTATCGCCGACCGCTGGTTGCGCCTTCGCCGCTGTTTGCAAAGCTGGCGGTTGGCAGGCCAAGGAGACCTTCGACTTCGACGCAAAACCTGCGCGCGCACGCGGTCGGCGGCGGCCCAGACGACTAGAGCAAGAAAATAGGTCGGTGGACGGCCGACGCTGCGCAAAGCTGACGCTGCATGAGAGCTCAGGCAACGCCGGTTGACTAGGACATTGGGGTTTCTTGTTTTGTTGGCCGTTATTGGTTGCTGATGGCAGAATGTTCCGAAGAGACTTCCACCCGATGGCGAGTGAGTTATGTCAGTGGTATTTTTCAAAAAGTCTGTATTATAATTATGTAGAAGATTCGTCAGTTCAAGATCAGGACTGTTTGTAAGTCACTCTGGGGATAAGAGTAAGAGGAATAATCGTCTCTGTCGTAATCGTATGGGTCGCACCTCTAAGAAGAAATCGAATCCAGGGTATTCATAACAGTCCAGCTCACAGTGATCAATAGATCTCTATTAAAAAAAAAAAGTACTTGTATCATAAAAAAAAATCTAAATAGATCATCTTTTTTTGTCCATAATAAAAAAGTTCAACTGCAGTTTCTTGTTTTTAAGAGAATTTTACTCCTCATTTGACTTTGATGATCCGCGCGTTTCTTTCTCTCAGTAAAAGTTTATAACTTGAAGACCACAGCCGCAAGTTTTTTTAAGAAAAAGAAAAGGTGGATAGCTGAACTGGTTTTTTTAGTGTTGCTTTTTGTATAAATAGAAATTACTGTTGTCTACGTATCATAATAAGTGCCTAGTCAACTGCCTGCCTGCTAGCTCTGGCTCTGTGGCTTAGGTTGCCATTGCTTCTCTCATCATGGCTCAGGAGGAAGAAGTAATGATCAACATGTGGCAAGAACGTCGAGTCTTATGGGACATTACCGACCCAGACTACAAGAATATCCGCGCAAAGCAGCTGGCCAGGGAAGAAATTGCCCAAGCGATTGGAAAAACAAGTGAGTACAGTTCTTTGTGTTGGTTGCAATAGCTGCACAACAGCCTCATTTCTTCTTCATCTTCTTTTTTTTTCACTTAATTGGAAAGAATCATTCAGAATTTACACAGTTAGTGTCTTTATTGATAAAAACAGTAGCTATGTTTCCGATAATGATAAGTTTTTCATAGTAAAAGTCTTGTTTTAAAATGAGACAAGCCGGGAGCAAAATAAGTTTTTATATTTTTACTAATCTGGAACCAGAAATTCGTGTAATTTTATTCATGCACCATTTGTGAAAATGTTTCTAGTTCCTTTTCAAAGAACATTGGGTTCTCTTGGGTACTCTCAATTTGAATTTTCATGGTGACATCTTGTTGATAAAAAAAAAAATCCGTTCTGAACCGAGTTTGGCTTGAAAACCAAAAGACCATTCCTGTAATCCTGTTTGTATAATATAATGTGATGCTGATGCTGTGGCTATGATACTTGCTGCTCACTTTTGTTGCATCTTAACGTTTCTGAAAATTCAATCCACATACAACGTTAATAGCTAAAATATTAAGATGTCAGTGGATAGTTTTTTTTTGTCTTGAGTAATGGTAGGTCTTTCGCTTTCATTTTTGGAAATTTTCCTTAATTTTATGAAGAAAAGCCTGGTCAAAGCATAAAATGAGGATCTCTTTACCCTCTCAAAAAAATTAGTAAAATAAGAAGAGCAATGTACTTTATTTTCTATTGCTATTTTAAATTGACATTTTGAAAAAGATCTCTGTTATACTGTTATGTTGGCCAATATGGTGAAGACATTTTATCAACATGAGTTTAATAGACATATCGAATATTATTATATTCATGCTCTTCTTCCCATATTATATTACTTGAAGAAATAGGTAAAATTGTTTCTTTTGGTGTTGTAAAATCATTTTTGATTTTGAGGTTGTTCTGCCTGTTCTCAATAATTTTTACTCTCACATCAGGGATAATCATCCATTGTTAGTTTTATAATAGCTTTGCTTGATTTTGAAGCCCCTTAATGAAATTGTTTCAATTTCGCTCTGAAAATTTTTTTGCTTGGTGAAATTTTACCCTGAAAAAAAAAGTTACACAGTTAGTGCATTATAACATAATATTGTCGCTGCCTCATGAAAATGCTTTCCCTGTGGGAGTGGCTAATTTTTATTGTTCCAGTAATAATACTCTAATCAATAACACACAATCATCTGGAAATTTCATTGTTTTAAAAAAAATATTTATCTGAAGTTTATCATAATTTTTTTCCCCTACAGATCGACAAGTGAAAGATAAGCTTAAAAATCTGAACGACTCTTACGTGAAGGCTCGAAAGAGACTACGTGAAGTTGGAGCGGCCAAACCTGGCTCAAGGGATGTCTACCTTCTAGAGCGTTTGCAGTTTCTGTTGCCCAGTAAAGTGGCTCCGGGTTCCAAGTCAGCATCGGTAGGTATTCATGCAGGGGAGAACTTTAAAAAAGTGTTGTTTAGTTTACAGACTGTTCTGTTTTATTTTATTAAGTGTTTTGCTTGGTAGGATTTTGGACCCCCCCCCCAGGTATTTTTAAGGGCTTTAAGTTTATGGATCACTCAAACATAGGAACTCACCGGGACCAGGCTAAAAAAAACCCTGCTATAGATACATTTGTACAGATGCTTGGTGCATACATAATAGGAAAAGGGATCAGACCTCCTTTAGAGATTATATGGTATTTGCTTCCATTTGATCTGATACATTATTGTAATGATGCTTGATTTTATAGTACCATAAAACTGACTGTGTATTTGGTGGGAAGTAAATCATCTGACCATTTCATCTTATTTAGTATCATTATTTACTTTAATTATAATGTAAAAGTAGAAAGCTATAATGAAGCATAGTAAACTCTGTATACTCCATTTTATTGATTACTCTAAGGCTTTTGACAGTGAACTATTTTTTTACGTAGCGTCGGTGGCCTAGTGGTTAGGCTCTTGGACTCGCAACCGTAAGGTCGTGGGTTTGAATCCCGTCAGGGGCCTGATGTTGTGTCCTTGGGAAAGGCACTTAACACGAATTTTCCTCACTTCACCCAGGTGGGAATGGGTACCCGGCTATAGACAGCGAAAGATCTTGTCAACTTGTTAGTGTTTGAACGCTTAATCAGCTGCTTGCACTGTATGCTTCCCGGGAAGCTGAGAATGTTTCGGAGTGTTCTATGGTCTGCTGGGGTAATAATATAGTGTAAAGCGCATAGAGCCTGCTGTTGAGCGGGGATATGCGCTATACAAATGCTATTTATTATTATTATTATTATTATTATTATTATTATTATTATTATTATTATTATTATTATTATAATAATAATAAATAGCATTTGTATAGCGCATATCCCCGCTCAACAGCAGGCTCTATGCGCTTTACACTATATTATTACCCCAGCAGACCATAGAACACTCCGAAACATTCTCAGCTTCCGCGGAAGCATACAGTGCAAGCAGCGGATTTCACGCACTCAAACACTATCAAACTGACAATATCTTTCTCTGTCTATAGCTGGGTACCCATTTCCACCAGGGTGAAGTGAGGAAAATTTGTGCAAAGTGCCTTTCCCAAGGACACAACGTCGGGCCCCTGACGGGATTCGAACCCACGACCTTGCGGTTGCGAGTCCGAGAGCCTAACCACTAGGCCACCGACGCCACAAATAATAAATAGCATTTGTATAACGCATATCCCCGCTCAACAGCAGGCTCTATGCGCTTTACACTATATTATTACCCCAGCAGACCATAGAACATTCCGAAACATTCTCAGCTTCCTGGGAAGCATACAGTGCAAGCAGCTGATTAAGTGCTCAAACACTAACAAACTGACAAGATCTTTCGCTGTCTATAGCCGGGTACCCATTCCCACCTGGGTGAAGTGAGGAAAATTTGTGTAAAATGCCTTTCCAAGGACACAACGTCGGGTCCCTGACGGGATTCGAACCCACGACCTTACGGTTGCGAGTCCGGGAGCCTAACCACTAGGCCACCGACGCCACATTATTATTATTTAGAGATAGATGAAAAAGTTCAAGTATTATTAGAAATCTTTACTGGCAGCAAAACACTGCTGCAGGAATTGAGGGGGAGGCAGCAGAGATTAACAGATTGACAGAGGATTAGGCAAGGCTGTGTTATGTCCCAAGACCTCCATTCAATAAAACAATTATTACTTGTAAATATAAAAAAAGTCCAGGTCTTTTAATTACACTAGGTGCTGATCACACAGTCTTAATTTCAGATTTGGAAAAGGACCTTCAATTGCTACTATTTTTGTTACAGAAAGTGAACTTATGGACGGGTGATATTTTAAATGTAAAGAAAACAGAATGCATAGTATTATTTTAAAGCTGGAATTCCTATTTGTAATCTTATCAGTAAAGATGAAAAGATCAACAGATTCAACATTACATCAGATGCTAACTAAATGTGTCACATAAATAAAACAAAGCATTGCAATAGTTAAAGATAATATCAGATAAATGAATTAGTCCAACCCCGAAAAACAAAATTATCTTAATGACAATCAAAATAAGAGTTTAAAAAGACTGTATCGTCAACTCTTTTATATGGTTGTGAATTCTGGGCCAAAGATTGTAAAAATAACTTGAAGTTGAAGCAACAGAAATGGGATTTAGGAGACTGTTGAGAATTACATGGGAGGAAAGGAAACCAAATGAGATAGAATGAGAGAAGCTCAGTTGGGCCGCTTACTAATAAAAACAATAGGAAGAGACGAAATGCAGTTTCTAAATCACTTGAATGTACGTAAGGGCCTTGAACATCTTGGAAAAGTTGAAGGCAAATGAGTCTGGCCAGGGATGGAACGAAAACAACTTGCTAAAGAACTTGTACTGACAGGTAATGGCGAAAGATCAGGACAATATGGGTTGTGTTTTTTTAAAGAGTATCTGAGTAGAGGAAAGAGGGACAAACCATGATCATGGATGTCTGCTGGCACTCTATGATGACGATTGACTCTCATTGTCAGTTCTTATTTTTTACATTACTTCTGGAGTGTTAAGCTTTATTCTTGTCATGTTTTAGAGTAAGACTGCATTTACTTTAGTTTAAGTTTAGTATGTGCGCTCATATGACCGTATGCAGTTGTGAGCGCCGTAAATCCCTATACTACTAACTAAGTTTAGTATGAAAAAGTACATTGGAAGTATGTGTTAACCTACCAGCCTGCCGAAGAACAATCGTTAATTTTTAAACTCTGAAGATGGCTGTAGCAATTTGTTAGGAATCACTGATGTAAGAATCTTATATAGATTTACCATCGCTAGTAGTTGATTATAACTGGAATCAGTAGAGAAGAAAAATCATGGTTGCTGTCTCATTTTTTTGCATTAATTGCATCTTTTTGGGAACTATTTTATTTCATAAACTGATAAAGAAAACAGGATGGACGATGGAGTCATCATAAACCGATAAAGAAAACAGGAAGAGGGAGTCATTATTGTAGCTGAGCTAGATAAAAAAAAGGGGTCTTTCTTTTCTTTGTCTTACAGACGTTATGTGCAAAACTGATTTTTAGATAAGCAACTTTAGACTGACACATTTTGGCCCTAATACATACAGAATATCATAATTTTTTGGTTTTGTTTTCAGTTAAAATGTTTTTCTCAACACTAAAACAGTTTCACTTTGTGTACCACGTGAGTGTCAAAATTTGATTTCAGATAAATACATTAAAAAAAGTAAATGTATCTACTTTTAATCGTTTTGACCAAAGTAAGCCTGCATAGTCGCCAGTTTTTATTTATTTGTTTTTTCATGTGTATTTTGTATTTTTATCAACAGGAAAACTTTGTTGTTGAAAAAGTGGAAGAGGCAGACAACTCTTGCCTCAGTGATGACCATCCTGTGGCTTCTTCATCGAGACCTAGTGCCTCAAGCAGCAGGAAAAGGAGAATGGAAGATAACGTCACTTCCAATGGAGATGTGAACCACAGTGTCACGGACGATACGGAATACAATAATAAATCGGAAGAAGACTATTTTTCTCAGTATATTGGGGCAGCCTTGAAAGGTTTGGAGCCCACAGCCAAACAGTGGTGTATGATGGAAATGCACAGTGCTTTGTACAAGGCTAGGACTGGAATTTGGGAGCAAAGTTTGTCAGAACATCACTGATTTCTTGGAGTATTATTTTTATAATTTTTTTTTTGGGGGGGGGGGGGGGGGGGTACTGCAATGATTTTATGTAAAAATGCATTTAAAAAAGTGTGGCATGAACCAGGCGTTTAAGCTTAATGCTTAGAAAATGCTCTTTTGTTGGTGACAGAAAGTTCATTTGAACTTTGCACTGCTATTTCAGCTGTTCTTTAAAGTTATATTTTCTGTTCATTGTGTTTCTTTCAAGAAAGATTTGCTAGGCTTTCAAGTCCACAAATGCCTGAACTTCCAAGCAACGTAATGGTATTCCTTAAATTTGTTGTTTAAAAGGCACCACTCATCATACGAGTCCCATGTCTTTACTTTTCTCTTATTTCTGTTTGTTGCCTTGATTTGCCTTGATACTGACTGAGCTTCTTGTTTTATTCAGACTTTGTCATACAAAAAATAACTTCTTGTGTCATTTCATTGCCTATACGAACAGCAGTTACTGTGAAACGTTTGATAATTCTTGAACATGATTTGTGACAAGCGGTGGAGCACTCAAAGGATGCCGAAGCAGATGCTTTGAGAGCAAGTACAAACAATGGAAAAAGTGGAACGAAGTCAATGCAGCGCTGTGACAGCAAAAAGATGACAGTCTTGTTGTAGTTCTGTGTCATCTAAGGCCACTTACTGGGAGGTAAAGGTTTATAAATACTAGTCTCTGATGGAAAATAAGCTGAAACCTTTTGATCAAGCTGGCATGTTATGTTGTCCATGTCATCCAAAGTCATGTGACACTCCGCTCACAGTTATTGTATGCTGAGGTGAGGTAGTGACTTGGATGAGTTCGCAAACATATGTGAGGCATTGTGGTGAAATCGGGGGCTCGTCAAAATAATGAAATCAAAGAAAGTGGAATTTTTCAGTCCGTTTGGCAATTTTTATCAAATTTTTGTTTTTTGACTCAACACCGTAATGTAAAAATGTAAATTTGCAGTTTCCAAGGACTCTCAAGCTTTGGAAGTCGCTATATTTTGGCGGCCATCTTCTTGCTAATTTTACCTCTGAAACCAGACGATCCCCACCTCCTTCAATCGCAAATGTCTCGACTTCTGTTCATGATAGATACGTTTTTTTTCACCGAAAGAAAAACAAATGAAAGCTTTAAAATGATACCTAACAATAATTCCACGTGTCCAAAAATTGACCTGCGCCTGATTCCACTGCGTCGTGCCACATATTAATGTGATGGTTGTTATTACTGATATTGTCAGATAACACATAATTTTTGGTGAGATGCAATTAGTTTTGAGTTTTCTGTATGTGTTTGAATGTTACTTGAACATGAAGTCTGCATGATTTTTATAAACAAATGGCACTGAAGGTTTTAACTGGGAGAAATGGCAAAAATATGCTCAGTGGCAAAAGTATGTAAGTGTGGGTTGTGCGAGTGTTCTGAACATTTTGAGCGTTTCCAGGTTGGTTTTTCATTGTTGAGGAAGTATGATCGGATCAGAACCAGATATTGCTGAGGGGCTCTTGTGGTCTAGTAGTTACGGTGTTTGCCTCTCATTCAATAGGTCCCAGGTTCGAAACCTGACGGCGACGGAAAGTTTTCTTATCTAAAGTTTTCTCTTTTCACCGCCTTTCCTGCTCTCTAACCTTTTTCTGCCGTCCGCTTTCGTCTCCACTTTCAGCCCCCACCATCTCACCCCTTTGCCCACCTCTGTGGCTCCTGACTCTTTCTGCAGCCTTTCTACTGCTACTCTTTGGCTTCTTCTTGGCTCCTTCTTACTTCTGTCTTTCAGTTTCAGCCACACCCCTGATCTTAGAGTAGACAAGATCTAACACCTAGCCTTCTCGGATGAGGGTGAAAAATCTTGGAGGTCCTGTGTGCAAGTTGCGCTTGTTACAAGACACCTTGATGGTTCAAAATCGATAAGAGTAGGCTTTGGCCGGCACCTGGACAAGATTCAAAATTAATTTCTACCAAACTGAAGACATTAATGTGTCCCGCGTGCTCATATGATGACCTTATGTAGTTGCGAGCGCCGTGAAACACTTACCAAATATACACAAAAAAAAAAAGATATTGCTGTCTCTATCTTGTTTCAGAATCTAGATCTAACTTCATAGCCCAGTGAATAAATGAAGGTCGCCATGTCAATTTTTGAAAAGTGTTGTGTGACCATTTTTATGCAGGCATCCTTTTCTCCAAACCGAATTAATAAGAAGGCCATCCAGTTGTGTATTATTTCATGGCTCTTTACGCAGATGGTTTGAGGACTTCTTCTGTGCTTTCTCTTGTTCATTTCTGTCTGTTTGTCTTTGCTTTTTCTCAGTACTAAATGTGTGGCATCATGGTAAAATCAGGCACTTGTAAAAATAATGAAATCAAAGAAAAAATTATTTTAGCCTGTTTGGGCAAGTTTAAATCTTTTTCTTTTTTTTTTTTGGGGGGGGGGGCAACACCTTATATGTCCATTTAAAAACACATTTCTGTATGTAATTTACTGAAAAATGTGGACTAAAACTAAAGGCTTATAAAAGGTCCCCCCGTAAAATTGCCATTTGCAAGGACACTGACACTTTGGAAGTCCTCAAACTTTGGCTGCCATTTCCATTCTAATTTTACCTCTGATACAAGATGACGCCCATCTCTTTTAATCACAAATATCTCGATTTCTTCTATTCAAGACAGATGGGTATTTTTAAAATTACAAGCAAGACAAATAAACAATCTGTAAAATGATACTAATTACAATAATCCATATACCGAAAAACTGACGAATGCCTGCTTCCATTGTGTTGTAACACAAATTACTACATGTATAATAATTATAATTGTGTTGAGGTGCTTTCTTAAAACTCAAACAAACATGTTTGTATTTCTTTTCTGTGGTCAGGTGCATTTTCGTCACCTAGCTGAACTGTTTAAAGTAATTCCTTTTGAATCCCCTTTGACATCAGGCTTTCAGTATACTATGTGTGATTGGCTGGTACTTTGGTTAGGTTTCTTTTCCCTTTGTTCCGAAAATTAGTCCACGAGTTTTAGTTTGCTCTCTCTCTATTTTCTATGATCTATGTAAAAACCTTGTCAGCCTTGTGATAGATCTATTTTGCTCAGTTCTGCCATTTTTATACTGTTTCAGAATAAATTTGCAGTGAATTTGATATGATACAATTTGTCACTCTTCCTGGTTTTAAGTTGCGATTAAATGAATTTGTACTTGTTGTGTTTCCTCGTTGAACTTTCACTGTGTTCATTTGCCATTTATATTATGTAGAAGACTGATTCGTTTCTTGTCTTAGTGTTGAAGTAATTTCAAATATTGTTTTTAAATATAGGAGCAAATGGTGTGTGTGTCTGTGTCCATGCATGTGAAAGTAGAGCGAGTGAAAGAAAAATGAAAAAAAAAAAATAACCCAGAGTTTTTCAGAAGGAATCATGTACATACATTGTTGAGTCTTGATGCATTTTGTATTGTTAATTGCAAAGGAACTTGTTATATATTTTGTGAATATTTTGAGAGAATTCTCTAATAAAATTTTACAAGACTGTGATTTTTCATTTGGTAGTTCTTGAACTTGAACGGTAGCGTTATAGAGGAAGTGGAAAAAAGGTAAGGGTAGACCCTAAAAAATTGGTACAAAAACAAAACTTATATGGTTCGACAGATAAAATTGCGTGTAATAACATACTAAAAATCAACATCGAAATCGTGGAGGAAATCGTTTTAAAATGCGTTAAAAGTTGCCAAAAAAAGAGAAATTTATATTACAACCAAATCAATTTACCATACTCGCTTTGAGGCGAGAATATTTACGTAATTTGTTCGGATATTCCCGAAAATGGGGTACTCGTCATCGGTATCTGTGCTTTTATGTAAAAAGTCTCAGTCACAGCTTTTCATTGGATGTTTGTTTTCGGTGTAATTTCCCTCTAAAGGATTGCCCTTTGTGCAATTGACATAACAAGGTGTGAATGGTTTTCTAGCAGTTGTACAACATACAAAGATATAGATGTGACTGAAGGGTGCCAAGTGCACATTCCATGTCACCGATCTTACATGAGTGCAACATCTTTTTGCAAAACATAGAAAGAGTAGTCACTGTCCAGGAAGCTTAACTGGCTAAAACACGAACTTCGGTTAAGTCTCCAAGAGTTTCATTTTAGCACCTGCTGAATGTTTTATGGTCTGAAAAGAAAACTTTGCACTCAAAGTCAGAGAGGCCTATAATCTGTTCTCAGAGAAAGTTGCATTTGAAAATAGCAAAAGTAAAAAAAAAAAAAGAAAAGTTGCAAAACGTGTATAAAAATAGCAAAAGTTAAAAAAAAAGAAGTTGCAAAACGTGTATAGTATAGCTAAAAAAATGATATGGAACTACTGGAATACATTTATTGGTGCTCATTGCAATTAAACTAACCAACATATTTTGTTACATCAAAATCAAAAATTAAATGTGAATGTCTACCGAAAAAACCCAAAACTGCATGGAGGTTGCATGGTGTACAAAAACAGTTTGTCCCCTGACACATGCGTCAGGTCCTTGATTGAACTCTCGCAGACGTTGGGCTGGTGTGAGATATATCTTACACCTTCTTTTGGGACTTTTTGCCCCCCCCCTCCCCCTGCCCCTTTACACTTTTCTTACACCCCCCCCCCAAAAAAAAAAAGAAATCCCGTAATATTACATCATTCACTTATGTATAATAATATGACGTTTCTATCGCGCAAATCCGTGTTACAATTACTCTTCTATGCGCTTTACTTTAAAAATTTTTTAAAATAATAGTAGGCCTATTAATGAAAAACATGCATACACAACATGTGACACAATAATTAAATACGGTACAAGTGGAACTTTTCTGGAAAAACCTACGGTGTCATTTTACCACTTTAACCGCACCGGTGTAATCAAAATTAGTAGACTAGATCTAATGTCATGTAGCCTTGATATAGTACATGTGCCAGTGTGTAAAGTGCGAAAAGGCATATCGTGCTTGCCGGTCGAGGACCCACTGTTTCGCCACAATGCCGTGCGTACCGCTCTACTCTGAGTGAAGATTTACTCTTTT